CGCAGGAGTCTTGGGTCTTGGGCCAAAATATAATTACTTCGACTGGCTTTCAATTAATAAATGACGTTAACATGCTGTCAAAATATGCCTGCCTGATGATCTTTTCGTCTCGGCCAGCATGTGTATATCGAATGTATCTCACAGATGCAGAGATACACGCCAAAGTGCAAGCCAACCTGATATCAGAGACTTCATAAATTATAATTTGCCCGGGCCATAAATAGCCTCCAGCAGGCCTGGACACTTTGACTACCGATTATAATCAATCTTGGAGATAGATTTTGCCCAGACAACGACTGTGGCATGCCACGACTAAAATGATAGACGCACAAAGCTTTTGTAATTTAAAACGAGCTGAGAGCTGCACTTGGTTCGCTCTGTCTGTCTGTTGGGGCTTTTCTTTGTGTTATTTTTTATTTTTCCAGAGACATGGAGCGATCACGCAACGCTATCCTATGGATCTTCTGCTGCGGTTCTCTACCTTTTGGTAGTAGCTGTGAACTCGCCACTAACATGTGTCCATGGCCATGTCCAGTGGTTGCAAGTTGCCTGTGCTGCTGCTGTTTGTGCTGCCGGTGGAAGATGAATTTGCTGGGTGATCCATGCACTCAGAGAAAGTGCTTATACTCCATCATATCACTCTTTAAGGAGGCCTTGCTTCTTTTTTTGCAGTGCCCGCCTTGAGTGGCATGCAAAATAGCCGCATGCAAACATGTGTCTCCGCGTTGTCTGTGCCCAACTGCAACACGCATTTATCTGCGGCATTTATCACGCATGGGGCACCCAGGCAGCCAGCCAGGGAGTGGACTCTGTCCACCATCCACTGCCTAGCTGTCTAGATGTCCGCCAGGCCGGAGAGATGGCCGCCATATCAGGTTGCTGGCTGCTAGATAAGTCGAATGCGATATGCGTATCTCATAGATTTGCCACAAGACTGCCACGTCGCAGTGTCTTCTCCCAGCTATTTTTGGCCTCGGCTTGTTGCATAAACAATTTGTGGCTTTTCCTGTTCGTTAATTTTTTTTATATGCACTTTTTCAATGTTAGTTTTCCGTCTGCTGGCATTTTGTGCAAACAAATCTCGATTGATAATTTTGCATAAATTATGCGAACCAAATGAAATGAGCCAAAAGCAAAGGAAACGGCAGGGACTGGGAGCGGATACGGGCATTCCTTGCTGGATTTTTATGTGACAGGAGGACAGGATCTGTGGAAAGGAAACAGGGAAATTCAGAGCTACGGAGGGCTTGCAATTGATTTGCATTTTCCGGTTTAAATAAAGAAAGAGGGGAAATCGAAGCAATACGCTACACAGTGTTAGTTCTTAGTCGGTCGACTATTTCGTATATTTGTCATTTTCTATCTAAAATCTCACAGCCTCACCTGATGATTTCTAAAAGCTGTTCCCAGACCGATTCGTCAGATGCATTAGGTCTGAGATGATGTGAAGTTGTCAGATACTTCTCACCATTGCTCGGCTATCGGAGTAAAAAAATCACAAGTCAGAAAAGCGTTCGTTCTCACAAAAGGGCCATAGGGGGGGCAAGATGTGTTAAGGTATTTACTTACCGGAGCCACTGCCATTCGATTTAAAGTTAACCTTTTGCTCGGCACAAGAAAGGTCCATTGTGCCCACTGGGTCCGGACCTTAAGTCTTCAGTCTTCGGTCTTCTGTGGTCCATTGTATACCCACTTCCGCTGCTGCCAGCCAGCCATCCCAGCCAGCCTTTCTTCTCATCATTCCCGTTCTCATTGCATTTAACGCTCATTTCTTGATTCATTATTTATTGTGATTTCTCTAAAAACGAGTAGCAGGCCGGGAGCAGGAGCGACCGAAAGCAAAAAAGTGTGAAGCTGGATGAATGGCGAGGTCCTGAACAATGGCCACAATGGCAGAGGGTCTTTCCGGTTCCAGTTCCAGAACTCCAATACCCCCCACCACTCAGTATTCTTTGCACAATTTGGAATATGATTAATTGCCGAGTCAATTGATATTTTATTGGTCCGAAGACGATACGATGCTGGAAGTCTAGGTCTATGCGGAAGTTGCATTCACACCGGAACTGGCAGCGTCTTAGAGGCCATCTCTGCTAGGGCTTGTTAAAATGTTTGCCTTAAATGCTGACAAATGGGTTGGTGTGCCGTCGTCGTGCTTATGAGGCGGGCAAACATCAATTGAAAGGGCAGCTGGTAAAAAATCAAGAGAAACAACAAGCCTGGCTGGGGGGAGAGATTTAACATGAAACGGGTAGCCGACGTCGCGACGAGCAAACAACAACAGGGCCAAGTAACTACAAGACTCGAAAATCTTTAACCCGTTGCAACTAACAAGTTTCTTGTTAAAACAACGGCTGGGCCAATAAACCAACAATACCAACAGCAACAGCAACAAAGGTGGTCAAGAAGGCAAGAAAGAAGCGGCGCATGCGCTCTGACTGACAATGGATATGTGATTTAAGCCTGGTCAGCTGTCCCTTCAAATAAGTTACTTTTCATGAAAGTGATGGTTGCTTTTTTAGGCCAAAAAGTAAGGTATTTTATGTTAAATTTTTTCTTAAAAATCTTATAAATATTGCTACACAAATTGTATAAAATATAGTAGGTAAACCAGTAATATCTGAGGCTTTGGATTTAGTCTCATAATACATCTATTCATAAAGAATTTTTTATAGATTTTTATCAGATTTTGTTGCCAGAAAATAAACGTTTATTTACATACAAAAATATGAACAATAATAAACATATATTTAAAGATATCCTGAAAGGGGGCGTCTGTAAAAATTCCACATGCAATTTAGTAGTGAGGTTCCTAGTTGAAAAAAATTAAACTACACCTGTGAAAGTTAAAGTTAAAGTCTTTAAAATTTAACTAATAATATATATTACTGAAACTATTTTTAATAAAATATTGTTCCCATATGTTAAGTACTTTATTTATACAAGATTAAATGTTATCTAACGCAAAATCTGCACCTTTGAGTCCGTGTTTGAAAAATATGAATAAGAAAACGGCCCCTTGGGGGTTCCCGGGCTTATTTGCCTTTACGGTTTTGGATGGAAGTTCTGTGGGCATGAAGAACAGTAGTCGGGGAGCCATCTCCAGACCCTGCTTTACCTAATTACACACGAAGTCTGCCCTCTCGACCGTTTGGTCTCTCTCTAATTGTTTAAGTGCTTTTAGCGTTTGGCCAAACAATTTTCATATGCAGTCCTCAGTCCACACCCATATCCATTCACACACTGCAAACAAAACCTTTTCATTTCTATGTTTTAGTAGTTTACCATAAAGCACCATAAGATATGTGTGTGTACATATGTACCTAGCCTTTATTTTAAGTTGGATTTTTTGGGTTTTATTGCTGGGAAATTCTCACACATTGTCGCAAATTGAGGGGCCGCTCGGATGGAGGCTTTCGGATGTGTAACGTGAGAGAGATTTGGAGGCAAGAAAAGCTTGTGCCACCTGTCTGGGCCCGGCTTGTGGCACACATAAAAATAAAAATGCAAACTTCCGTTACCTGTTTGCTGCATGCTGCATGGTGCTTGCTGCAAGCCATCATGTGAAGCAATCACTGTGTTTTCAATCTGGTTTTCGAAAGGAAATTACGCAGGTTTTTCTTTTCTAGAACAGTTTGGCTATAACTATTTGTAAGCCCAGTTTTTATGAGCTACAATTTTCGTTTAGCAGTTTTAAAATAAAAGATTAAATTGTAAACTTTATAAATTAATTTAAATTTATGCTTCCTCAAATATATAGGCTTTTTAAAGACTTGCCTAAAGGAAATCTTGTGGCACTTTGTCATAAATTATTTTGCATTTATTTTCCAGACTCTAGACAACAAATCAAGTTTATAAAACGCCCTGACCAGACATATATTAACAGTTGCATTCAATATTTATAAAATTGCCTCAAATGTTGGCCAAAAAAATATATGTATGTATCTCTAACAAGCCTTTTGTTACTTATTGGTTAGACACAGAAATATTAAAAAGTAGTCCAAAAAAGATTTGCATCTCTGAACGAAAATAAATTTTGTGTGCGAAATTCCCGGAGACGGAAATATGCAAGTTATGTGAGTAGATCGGGGGCTTAGGAGGGGATATCATAGAGGAAAACCAAATGCCGTAAGCCCCGGAAAATGTATCCCCCTTTCCACACTCCTCGCCCCATATGTTGGCACAGAGTTATGGCCATTTAAAGTTGATTTTCTTGTTGTCATAGTTGTTTTTTCCCATTTTTTTTGTAGTTTCTTGTAAATAGTTGTTTGCTCTGGATATCTCTGGAGCAGGGTTAGAATGAAAAATGCATCTCAAATGTATCAGATGACACAATATTTTTGAGAAATGCCCGTCCGAGTGCGCAACACTTTGGCCTGCATAGTGTGTGTTTTCGTTTTTTGGGATTTTTGGGTGCATCTCGCAGATACACAAATATCAATTTCAAGTGCGTAAACCTGACTAAAAGGTTCCACTTACGCCAGGACATGTCTGCGGCCCATAAATATGCCCCGGGGGAGTACCTACTATATTGTTTTTATAGCGACTTAATTATGCCAGAGCACTTGGCACTGACTTTTGCCGGCTCTGGTCTTAGTCTTAGGATCTCGGGGACAGAACTACTTTTATGGGCGGCAGCATGTCCAGGGGACGTGCAGCCCGTCCGGCGGATGAGTGGCGATTGCCAGAGAGTATCTTTCGGATGGTTCTGTGGCAGGGCATAGCCAGATAAATGAGTGGAGTTGCTTTGAGTGAAACTCAGCGAAGAGCGTGTATCTTTTTATCTCTCAGAACCAGTTTCTCGTCGCTCTACCTGCCAGGCTTCGGCTTATCTGGGAGCTCTCGCAAGGCCGATGTGGCTCTTTTGTTCTCCGGCGAGGCAAATGCAGCTGCCATCCACCACCATCGCTCTCAACCGCCGGGCCAGCCTGCCACAAAACCACCCGCCGTTCAGCCGACCATCCGAGCGGCCAGCCGAGGTATCGTCATTGCGACTCCGGAGTCTTAAAATCAGTGTAGTTCGTTGCCTCGTCGTGAGCGGTTGTCTGCCTCAAACTGAAAGCCAGATCCAATCCCGACTTGAGTTCCCGAGTTGAAATCTGAAAACAACGTAACATCAACCTCTCTAACAACAACTTGAAGCGTGCAGCCAAAGCGAACCTCTGGATTATCGCGCACGTTTTTCAAACAAACCATCAACACACACATTAGACATCAAACATCCAACCAACAAAACATCAATTTTATTTTTGCCAAAAACACACACAATTGTTGAAAATTGGCTAAATGTGACAAAACATAAAATTCTTAAAAATACAAAGAATTCGAAAAAGTGAAACAGTGAACCAAAAACACACAAAACTCAAAACGAAAATCACACAAATTTTAAGTTCAGTTCTTCATCGCGAATCGATCTGTAGAAAAGTTAAAATTGCTGCCAAACAGTCTCCAAAGACAAACAAATAGGTAAGTTTCTGTGAAAAGTTTCAAACTGAAAATAAAAAGTGGAAAATGGTGAAAATTAGGAAACAAATACAAGTTTTAAACAAAAAGTAACTAAAAATTAAAGTTGGAGAAACACTAGAAAAGGGGAAATAGTTTTGAAATAAATCTACAAAATGTGAAATATTTAACTCGAAAAAGTAGAACACATTTCAGAAGTCAGAAATAGAAAATTCATAAATTAAAATAGCAAAATATTTATCATGTAGTAGAAGTCTCTTTAAAATAGAACTCGAATGAATTTTAATCAGTGGAAATAGTTTCACAAAAATAGCCTAATTAACTGAACCCGACTCTCCCGATGGCATAAACTAATTTTGAAAATTTCCCTCGTTTGTCTACCCGCAGCACTATGGAATACTGAGAACACCCGAAGCCCCAAAGAACTTGCAGCAAAATCGAGCAGCAACAGCGCCAACAAAAGCAAAAAACGCAACCAAATCAGAAAAAAGATCCCAAGATGCAAGGGCACAAGATGATTGCTCTGGTGGCCATCTGGTGTATGGTGGTCGGTCTGGGAGTGGAGCCCGCGGCGGGCTTGGCCAACTGCCCGCCGGGATGCCAGTGCGACGACAACACCCTGGTGGTCCAGTGCGGCGAGGGGCAGCTGGACGTGCTTCCCATTGCCCTGAATCCGTCCATCCAGCGACTGGTGATCAAAAGCAACAAGATCAAGACCATCGACTCGTCGATCCAGTTCTACGCGGAGCTGACCTTCCTCGATCTCTCCTCCAATCACCTGATGACCATTCCTCAGCGCACCTTCGCCTACCAGAAGAAGCTGCAGGAAGTCCATCTGAACCACAACAAGATCGGTCAGATCAGCAACAAGACTTTCATCGGCCTTTCGGCTGTCACGGTGTTGAATCTGCGCGGCAACCAGATCTCGGAGCTGCATCAGGGCACCTTCTCGCCTCTGCTGAAGATCGAGGAGCTGAACCTGGGCGAGAACCGCATCGGTTATCTGGACCCCAAGGCCTTCGACGGGTTGACGCAGTTGCGCATCCTCTACCTGGACGACAACGCCCTGACCTCTGTGCCGGATCCCGTCATCTTCCAGGCCATGCCCAGTCTGGCTGAACTCTTCCTGGGCATGAACACCCTGCAGACCATCCAATCGGGCGCCTTCCAGGACTTGAAGGGTCTCACCCGATTGGAGCTCAAGGGCGCCAGCCTTCGCAACATCTCCCACGACAGCTTCCTGGGCCTGGAGGAGCTCCGCATTCTGGATCTCTCCGACAATCGACTGCCCCGCATTCCCTCCGTGGGCCTCAGCCAGCTGGTCCGCCTGGAGGAGCTCTCCCTGGGCCAGAATGACTTCGAGGTGATCAGTGAGGGCGCCTTCGTGGGCCTGAAGCAGCTGAAGCGTCTGGAGGTGAACGGAGCCCTGAAACTGAAGCGCGTGATGACCGGAGCCTTTGGCTCGAACGGCAACCTGGAGTACCTGGACCTCTCCTCCAACAAAATGCTCGTGGAAGTCCAGGAGGGTGCCCTGAGTGGTCTGTCCCATCTGCGTCATGTGATCCTCAAGGCCAATGCTCTGACTTCGCTGGCCGAAGGTCTGTTCCCCTGGAAGGATCTGCTTACCCTGGACCTGACTGAGAACCCCCTCTCCTGCGACTGCCGGGTGATGTGGCTGCGCAACCTCCTGGAGGCCAAGAACTCCAGCCAGGAAGATGTTCCCGAGCTGCGTTGCGAGTTCCCCGAGCGTCTGCGTGGCGAGTCCCTGAAGCACCTCAACCCCACCCTGATGGGCTGCTCCCACACCGATCCCCGTAAGCAGGCCCTGATCGGAGCTCTGTTGGTGGGTTCGGCTGCCACTATTACCGCTATGGCCTTGGTCCTGTACCGCTGCCGGCACAAGATCCGTGAGACCCTCAAGGGCGGTCTGTGGGGCAACTCGGCGCTGGGACGCAAGGAGCGCGAATATCAGAAGACCTTCTGCGATGAGGACTACATGTCGCGTCACCAGCACCATCCCTGCTCTCTGGGTATTCACTCCACCTTCCCCAACACCTACACGGCGCCTCACCACCCTGCTGCCGCTCACCACTACGGTATGTGCCCCATGCCTGTGAACGACTTGGGCGCCATGGATCCCCAGCAGAAGTTCCAGCAGCTGGCTGTGCCCACCGCCACCCTGGTCAGTGAGAAGAAGCTGAACAACAATAAGACTCTGGTCTCCCAAGGAGCCATCGACGACAGCGCCTCCTTCGTCCTGCACATGAAGTCGGCGACCATGGGACGCGGCGAGGGCCACCAGCAGCCCAACAGCCAGCAGCAACTGAATCACTACACCAAACCGCAGTTCCTCTCGGCCACGGCGGCAGTGGGCGACTCCTGCTACTCGTATGCTGATGTGCCCATGGTGCACGGTGGCGCCAACCAGCCCACCCTGCGCCTCACCCAGGAGCACTTCAAGCAGCGCGAGCTGTACGAGCCGGAGGTCGGAAACGGCGAGATCCTCGATGCCAACTACATCTACAGCAACACCCACTACTCGGTGCCGCTGGAGCAGCTGGGTCGCAGCAAGACGCCCACTCCGCCGCCACTGCCCCCAGCTCTGCCTCTCCGCAACGGCCTGTGCGCCACCACCGGTAGAAGGTCTTTCCAGCAGAAGTCCTCCCAGCATCACCAGCAGCAGCAGAACAACAACACCCTGCGCCAGTTCACGCACTGATCTTCGACCTACCGTCGCAGGCAGCTGAGCATCTTTGCTTAGCCCCCTGTTGCCCCTCACTGTGATGCCTGGTCCTGCCCCACCCACTCCTCCTGTCCCTTCCTCAGCCACCAGAATAAGGACATAGCTAGGACTAAGGTTTAGAGTTATTAGACAGAAAACATTGTACATATTGAGAACCTCTCCGCACTATTTCAAGCCTCACCTGAAAGATCTCTACTTCTATCAGCACCTTCTCACTCTGTAACTCCCCTCCCCGAGAATAGAACATCGCTAGCGAGTAAGATACAAAAATTGTAAATTATATTTAAGTGTTTAGATAAACTAAAGACAACCAACAAGCACTGAGAGTCATTGTAAGCTTAGTTTTAAATTATTTAATTTATTGTTAAATGCAAAATCGAATCAAATGCAAACAAACTATTTATGTATTAGTTAGAGAGAAGAAATTATTAAATTTTAAGAAAAACAAGAAGAATATCGTCAAAGAACAAGAAATATACGCAATGAAAAAAAACTAATTTGAAAACAAAATTTCCACTGTGTCTTTATTTGCGATTCGCATATTTTTTCCCTCGTCGGAAAATTTGTCTTTAATTAAACATTTGCAACTTTTTCCTTTCAACTCCCAGTGTCGTCTCGCAGCCGACATTTTCACTTTTTTTTCCATCGGGCTGCAGCCAGCAGCACCGGCTCAAAAGTTTTGACTTTCAATTCAATTAAAAGTAAGTTGCGAGAGCATGGGGAAAAAATGCGGCAGCAAAATTAATATACTATTATTCAATAGTAACAAGCTTGAAAACTTTTTTTTTGCCGACCCGAGTCAAGCAGAGCGTGGAAGTAGTAGTTGCCACATGCAACCCAGCCAACCACCACCGAGTCGGCATACATAATTTTCAACTTGCGGGCCACATGTGAGTTGCCGAGTGTTGCAAGTTGCTACCCGAGTTGCTACCCCTTCATTGTCACCTGCAACCTGCAGCTGTCGCCTGGCGGACCAGAAACTTGCCAACTCACTGTGCCCCCTGGGAAACCATGAACTATGTTCCCATGTACTCTCATATCTATGTAGTACTTGCAGAGCTCGAGCATGGCTCGTTTTCTCGATGCTCAATTTCAAGCCAAATCGAAACCTATTTAGACAATTACAATAAAAAATAGAAATCACTACGAGCGAGCAATGTACGGTAATAACAATAAATAAATAACAAAGGCAAATAGCGGCCCAGAACCAGTAGAGATGAAAGAACTGATGGGGCCATGGGGTGTGGGTATGGGTATGGGGCAGGTATCCAATAAAAAACCTCAACCAGAATCCATCATCAAATTTCGATTAAAAGGCTCCAGAAAGCGGGCAAGAGAGTTGAGAGTCATTCGCACTATTCAAGCTTCATTAGGAGGCAAAGTAACGAAAACATTTTGATTTCGATCATTACAATTTCCTTTCATGGGGCCCCCAGTCGAGTGAAAGAGCTACCGAAGAGGGGCCGCGCCAAGGGTTACTGGATCAAGCCCGTCCGTCTACCCAACTACCAAAAGCGAATGTAATCATTAATTCGCCGCACAGCTTCAATACAGATACAGTTTGAGATACAGATACATGTACATCCGTGCAGATACCAGGCCAAGATACATTTACAGATTGTGTGGACTGCGCGTTTCATTCTGACAGACCCAAAGGCAATAATTATCGAACCGAAAGCCGGCTCTCGGCCTGGTCCAGATACTGAACAGCTTTGTGAAGCTAAACCCGAATCCGAACCTGAATCTTGGGCTGAGCTTGGCCTGCTGCCTGATTGTATGATGACCATGTTGAAAATGCTCATTAAAGGTACTTCAGAAATAAAAGCATTTCACAATTGTTCCAAAAGCGAGACCGAGAGCTGCTCTCGGCTGACGAGGTTTAGAGTTCAGCGAGATTGAGATTTTGTTTGTGATTCGGCCCGCCATTTATCAGATGTTGTTATCTATATAGCTGACTTTTGGTCTTGGCTCGAATCTCAATTAACGTGGTCTTGAATGTCTCTGGGAGGTCACTTGGGGGCGCAACCGATAAGTTTTCAACTTCATCAGGGAGAGAGAGTGTCTGCCACAAAAGAAAGATCTATACATCAGTCTTTGAATTCTGAAAGATATTATAATTTGATTATAACCTAATTTTGTGGGGGTTACTTGGAGTTATAAAGAAAGTCTTGTAATGAATCTCCATCTCAGAGTACAAGGAAGAACCTGAAATCTTCTTAACTGTGCAACAGATTAACGCTTGCTAATCTCTGACTTAACTTAGTACGGTTCAGAGACACTTATCACCTTATTTAGTCATGGTCGGTAATAAAACCCGCCTGGCTAACAGGTAACCCCTGAAACTTAAGCCTTGGGCGTGAAGACACCCAGCCGCAGATCACCCCTACCTCCTCCTCTAAGAAAAAAAAAAAAAAACTTGTAAAATGCCCAAAGACAGTTTCCATTTGACAAAAATTTTTGTGTGTGGATCTTTGGGTTTTTTGTTACACCTTACAATGGCCATAGCCCGGACAAGGTCTGGATGTCTTGGACCCATGCCGAGTGCTGTGAAATTTCCCAACAATAACCTGGACACAATTGTCCCGCTGAGCTGTGCGGAGCGGGAACGGGAACGGGACGGACCGTGACGCTTGTCTCAAGCTGTGAGCGGTATGCCCCGGTCTTGATTCTTTTGCTCACATTAATTTCTCATCATTTGCCATTGGGTCTTGGGTAGGGCCTTGCGTAGGGACTACCAACTGCGTATTAATGGAAATGTTATAAGAGATTAACAGGCAACCAAGCAACCGGGCATCCAGGCCCTCAGATACAAAGGTGCCCAAGAACACAAGATACAATTGCAACTGTTTTTGTCCGCCCTTCGAGATTTAATGCGAATTTTTATGCCCAACCATATACAAATGCAATTTTGAGATACGGCAAGTCGGCAGGGAAAGGGCCTGGAACTGGCACTACTGGGGCGTGATCTACCTAAACTACAACTCATTACGGTCAATCATTTAAAGTCGATGTAGATTTCGATTCCGAATGGCCTTCGCTCTCTTTTTGGATCTTTTTCCATTATATTTAATGAATTGTGCAAGACTTTCCCAACAATCGGGTAATCAATCTGACAGGCTACCGCGTTTCTGGGCAATTGTTTGTCTCGAGGGGAGTCGAAAATGAGGTTAGATGAGGAAATCTATTAGAGGTAGGAAGCGGTTTAAGGTTGCAACAATGTTTGCAAAGATAAGAAAGAGATCGGATAACTATATCGGATGACAAGGGTATGTTTCTAGATATTTAATAATTTATGGGAAAATATAAGAAGCAATAGACAAGATTTTTGACAAAAAATCAAAAATATATTAGGTTCTTAGATTTTGATGCAGATTTGTGGAGAATCGATCTACAAATCGTTTAAGGTAGTCCGCTCAAGAATCGGATGAATTTTGCCAAAGAAAGAGCCTTCTCCGTGGGCCCTATAGTGGCTCCAAGCACTTTTGTGGATTTTTGAAGGGGACCCTCCAGGAAATTTGACAAAAAATCTAAAAAATATTGGGTTCTTAGGTTTTGATGCAGATTTGTGGAGAATCGATCTACAAATCGTTTAAGGTAGTCCGCTCAAGAATCGGATGAATTTCGCCAAAGATAGAGCCTTCCCCGTGGGCCCTATAGTGGCTCCAAGCACTTTTGTGGATTTTTGAAGGGGACCCTCCAGGAAATTTGACAAAAAATCTAAAAAATATTGGGTTCTTAGGTTTTGATGCAGATTTGTGGAGAATCGATCTACAAATCGTTTAAGGTAGTCCGCTCAAGAATCGGATGAATTTCGCCAAAGATAGAGCCTTCCCCGTGGGCCCTATAGTGGCTCCAAGCACTTATGTGGATTTTTGAAGGGGACCCTCCAGGAAATTTGACAAAAAATCTAAAAAATATTGGGTTCTTAGGTTTTGATGCAGATTTGTGGAGAATTGATCCACAAATCGTTTAAGGTATTCCGCTCACTAATCGGGTAAGTTTTGCCAAAGATACAGCCATCGCTAGAGGCCATATAGTGGCTCCATGCATTTTTGAGGATTTTCATAGGGGACCCTCCAGAAAATTTGGACAAAAGATTCAAAAAGTATTATGTTCTTAGATTTTGATGCAGATTTATTAAGAATGATCTACGAATCGTTTAAGGTATTCCGCTCAAGAATCGACTGATTTTAAACAAAGATAAGCTTTTTTTTTACAAGATAAGATTGTAGCTACAACGTTTATACATAATAGATACATAACCCACAGACAACGAGTATTATGCTCTAAGTAAATAAAGATCTGTTTGGTTATTAGCCAATTAATATCTTAGAAATCAATGGAACGCGCCAAGATAGATAGATATTTAATAATTTATGGGAAAATATAAGAAGCAATAGACAAGATTTTAAGCAATTTTCCATCGCATTTATACTCTTAATTATGTATTTAAAATTAATGAAATATTTTTATCTGCTTGCAGCTGACAACATGCCTCAAAACTTATTAAGCCAATCAACCTCAGTTTGGGGCTTTCTTCTTTTACGGCCACCGCCTGATATGTTGCACACTTAAAATAGATTACTTTTTTCCACAAGTGCCGGCACTTATAAATGCAATTTCTGTTCAACAAAAATCGCGGGAAAGGGAAAAATCATGCGGAAAGCAGCCAGAGCAGCAGAACTCAAGCGACAGCATTTTTAATTAAATAATTATTATAATTGTTGTTGTAGCTTAAGAAGATTTTCATTTTCATTTTCAGTTTTATTTTTTTGCCTTTTTTTCACACATCTCCACTGTGAGAAGGACGCACAAAAATTAAAAAATATATATATTCGTTTGTGGGCGTGTCTGTATATATAATTATGTCAAAATATAAGACCCACAAAGTAAACGAATTTTCACAACAGTAGTGGCCATGGCTTGGGTGTACGATGTGGGTGCAACAGAATGTGGCAAGTGGGTTCGAAACTTTTGCAAAAATATTTTGAAATAAAAAAGAGGAAAAACCTTGAAAAAATGAATTGGTTAGCATTGAGGTATGTATTCTCTTTCAAATAGAAAAGGTTTAAATAATTTTAAAACGGAAATTATAAATACTTTTTTGAAAAAGAAAACTTTTCCTAAAGTAACTTAAATATTTAAATAATTTATATTTGCTTAAACAACTATAGCTTACCTTGTTAAAAATATTTCCAGAAATACCTCAAAGGTAAAAAAAGTAAAAATAAGTATCATGATGATGCAGAAATCATGCACAGACATATACCCTTTGGTCCGAGTGGGTAAATAAAATAAATTCACCCCACACCCTCCACTACAACCCCATTAAGGGGCAGCAACGGTGGCAAGTTGCAACCCCAACGACTGACAAACAGTAAACAGAAATCGTGGAAACAGACAACATGCCGGGAACTCATGTTCCACAGACACCTGGACGTAATTCTGACTCGCACAGGGCTACCTCCGACAATAATGTTA